ACATGTCGTGGCTAAAACATAAGAACATATTATGGCTAAGGCTACAGTTATACACATCATAATAATAATATTAAACACCCTGTCTGCTGACAGTCATCAACTCTTCTCTCTAGTTATCCTTGACCGCAACGAGCGGATGAAAACTTTAGGCCCTCAGCTAAAACTATCTTTACTTTAAAGACAACCACTGCAATCTACTCAGTTGTACAGATAGAGCCTGGGAACTTGTCATGATAAAACAATGTGGGCGTATGATGAATAATAATGACTATAGATTAGGCTGGTTCTGTCTGTTCTTGTTAAATTTACTTGTTAACTTCACCTCCTATAATGTCTTATTAGTTTAAGTGAGGGTGTGTTTTCCTTTTTCTTTCTCCACGTCAGTCCTCCAGGACCTATAGGTGGACCTGCTCCAGGTGTGTGGTGTGTGTGGTCCGACAGCTACCGCATGCTGAGGTTTTGTTCTGGCATGGACTCGCTCTCCCTCACTGTGCGACAGGGCCCTGGCAGCTGCCCTCAGGATGGCATCATGTTCCTCCGAGACAGACTGGGAGACCACAGCACCCTCAAACTGGTGAGAGCAGACCACACCTTTATTTAACATCATCATCGTAGTCATTGTTGTGCTTTTACAATCTCTACCTGGTAAATGGAGCTTTTTTTGTCAGTATTTATAGGATAATAATGTTATAAATGCATGTTTTAGCAGTAGTTTAACAGTTTCTTTGATTAATACCAGTATGACTCTTTTGATATAACATCTGATTTTTGTTCCAGGTCGATGAGCTGAGATATGATACTGAGGAAAAGAAGAGAAGCAGAGATGAAGTCCTTTCTAGTGATGAAGGTAAGGTGACTCACTGGGCTAAAACTTTAAGACTACATGAGTTCTTGTATATACTTGCTATTTATTGCCATCATAATTATTCTATCAGAATTAATCTCATAATAAGGTTTGGTTACCAGTGACTCACAAGATGTTTTTGCCATGATCCACCTGAATGAGATAGTAAATAAGTGGACCACAAATCTCTGACTAGAATGACCAATTCTATAATAAACTGAACAGGAAACTGTATTCAGTTACATTGAAGACCTACAGTCAGTTGTAATCAAGTGTGTGTTTACCTGCGATGCAGCCGATGTACATGGAACAGGGATGAGCCTGACTGACGCATGTGCATTATGTGTTCTCCCTCAAGTGTTACCTGTCACATGGATGTTCCAGCTGTGTAACATGAGCAGCAAAAACAGGTCTCTCAGAGCCATATGTGCAGACGCACACATACATAAACACACACGGTGACATCAACAGAAAATTATCCAACAACAATGACAGTAATCCATGTTTTACTTCATTTATGAAGATACCTCTTAATGCTGCTTTTCTCTGTTTGATTTCTGTGGTCTGATCCTAAAAAGACTAGGAAAACACTTCCAACAGACACCATAAAAGGCGTACTCTTCTTTTTCTGAGAGCACAGAAAAAAAATCCAGATTTAGTTTTTCTTTTTTTTCTGGGATGACATGCTCAGGCTAGCAGGCAACCGCAGACGGAGAAAAAGATCCTGCCACTACCTCTTTTGTTTTTATATCTGTCTCACTCTTTCACACGCACACATTCTGTAGCTCTCACTTAACCTGTGGCCACTGTTTTTGGTAACCATAGAGATGGTAGATGGCAGTATCGACTCATAAAGGAAAGCAGGAAGTGCATCTCAGTATTGACCTTAACCCTGTTCCGACTTCAGGAGTCATTCATTAAGCTTCTCAAAATAACAACCTCACAGCAAGGAGCATGTGCTCTTCCTATGGCCCTGCTGCTCTGGATGGGCACAACATCTCACTGACCAGTTTTCCATTTCTGGATTAGCAGAGTCATATCCAGAGGACCTGTTGTCGTGCCACCCGCACGACTCTGCTTGGGAAGAGGAGAGTGTTAATACGTCATGCATCAATTTCTAGTAAAATATTTTTATTTTATACAGGCATTAGCAAGGAGCAGCGAGTTGAAGAGCAGGTGCTGGTGGACAGTGTGAGTACACACACAATATATGTGTATATACAGTGGGTACGGAAAGTATTGAGACCCCCTTAAAGTTTTCACTCTTTGTTCAGACCCTTTGCTCAGTATTTAGTAGAAGCAACCTTTTGAGCTAATACAGCCATGAGTCTTTTCGGGAATGATGCAACAAGTTTTTCACACCTGCCTTTGGGGATCCTCTGCCATTCCTGAATACTTATGACCATGTGATATTTCAGTTTTTCTTTTTTAATAAATCAGCAAAAATGTCAAACATTCTGTGTTTTTCTGTCAATATGGGGTGCTGTGTGTACATTAATGAGGAAAAAATGAACTTAAATGATTTTAGCATATGGCTGCAATATAACAAAGAGTGAAAAATTTAAGGGGGTCTCAATACTTTCTGTACCTACTGTATGTGAGTCTGGAGCCAAGTACGTTGTGTGCCGTAAATGTTTATACAGAGATTGGCCTCTTAAGTTCAGTGCTGGGTCTTTCATGTAACTGTGTGTGTATCTGTCTTGTTTTAAAGTTAAAAGTTCTTGAATTTTTTCTAAGAACTATGCTTCCTTTGTGTGTTTGTTCCTGTTTTGTTTAAAGGTTTTTGAAGAACAGCTTGTTCTGTCTTTGGATGATGATGACAAAGAGTATCCATCGTCATTATCTGGTAATTCTTTTCTTCTCTTAATCTTTCTATTTATCTATAAGAAAGGATTTACAATAGATAAAGGGTTTAGTTGCTCAACATTTTGGCTCAGCCAACACAGCAGCAACTTATCCAGACCAAAATACTGTTTCCATTGTAATATTATGGCAATAATACTCTGGCATCTGGCTTAAACGATGAATGGGTAGTCCATAAAAAAGCACAACAGCATATTTGTGGCTGTACTGAGCAGCAGGGTGTGGGAATAATGCATGCTAAGCTGGTGGTGAAGCCCCGACTTGAATCCTTTCTCATTTGGTGCCAGCACAATATGCAGAACTCTGTTATGAATCACATCATAGGAAATCAATACACTTGCTGCTTCTTGGGCACAGACGGGGATACACGTCTGTCTGGAGTTGAACAGCAGCGTGTATGATCTTCATGGAGACTGTGGTCAGGAGGTGCAGGTTAGGTCTTTTCCTGCTTGTCCTCCAAAGTGATTCAGTCCAGGAATCTGCCCTGTCACTGGAACAAAGACAGGAATGGGGTCAGGTTTGTCCCAGTCAAACGCTTTCTGAGCTGTGAGATGCCCCCTTCTGGCCTGTTGTCCTACTAGTCCCCCCCCCCCCCCCCCCTTTGGGTCAGAGCTGTGTACTGAAAGCAAGAAAAAGAATGTTAACAAGCTCAGACGTCATAGGCTTACTGTGCATTTTAAGCGAGCCACATACATTAACCTCGGATTCTCTTTAAACATAATCATGCATACAGGATTATAGGCTTAGCAAGCATAAACACTCACTGGTTAGTAAAGACGTAAATGAGGATGCTCAAATATTTCAAGTGTTTCCGTGGTTGCTGTGAATGCAAATTTCCTGTGTTGTTGTGGAAGAATGAATAGTTTGTTGTAAATCCTAGAGAGACTGGTGCTGCTGACTGAAGCCTGTGAACTCCGTGACCTTAAACTGAAGTGTGTGCATGTGGCTACAACAATTTGTCTTTGTGATGTACCGATGAGTGACCACAACACAAGGGCAGGGGTCCCAGTGTTTCCCACTTTAGCAGCTTGCAGGCTGAATACTTCTGCGTGATAACAGCACCTTAAAGCTGCTGTAGTGCAAAGTTGTCATCCAGAGTTAATGTTGTTGCCAGATCTGTTAAGGTTTTCCTAAAGGATTTTCTGGCTTCACTGATGTAACTCAGCAGTGTCAATGTGTAAAGTTGCACACACACTGACAGTTTGTTGAGCAAATAAAATGAAAAAGGGCAGATCGAGACATATCGAGATTAGACAACACTCAGAGCATGAACTTCCACTGAGGCAGCTCGGTTTTCTCATAATGGCATTTAAAGATTTGTGGATTGGGATGATGATCCAGATTGTTCTGTGGGCCATACCTTATTTCTCCAAAAATAAAATAAAATAAATTGAGGTAATAATAAGAAAAGAATGGCTATAACAAGTATTGCCTAGTATTGTACGTTTGAGCTCCATGCTGCTGTCTTCACTGTGTGAGAGCAGCAGAGAGGAAATGCCTCTGTGATGCCCAGGATTTCCCTTACATTAGTGCAGGCACGGCTGGCCCAGACATCAAAATCTGGGTGGAAAGTGCACAGAGTGCTATGAAAATGGCATCTCATCAAGAGAGGTCATTTTTCCAAATTGTCACGGCAGGGATTCCATCCACTGCTCTTATTCAGTCATGTCAACAGTGATGCAGAGTAATTATGTACATACAGGGTACACATTTACTTTACTAAGGCACTGTTGCTATGCAGAATTAAAGGTACTTAAGCTTTTCAGTTTTCTACTTGTTGCTCTCATTTAGCTCATGCTATTATGTTTACAATGACAATAGTAACATGTGTATAGCAGACAATATTTACCATCTTAATTTAACATGCTAACATTTGCAATTCAGCACTAAGCACAGTGTAATTGAGGCTGATGGGGATGTCATTAGTTTTGCTTTGTTCAAACAAAGTACTGTATTAAAAGTGTTAATCTTTTTACCTGATTATGGAGCTTTGCAGTTCCACTGCTGGAGCCATGCTGCTGATAAATGAAGACTTTTCCTGACAGATATGTTTCAGTGGTGATAAGCCCAACATAGATGTTAAAACCATGACTCAATGTATGTCAGTTATCTTTTTTTTGCTGAGAAAATACACAGCCTGCTGGTAAAAGCCCTGGTGATGCTGAACCACCTGACAATCTCCTATTATTGTTTGCACTACTGACACTGACTGTACAGTCACAGCTTATCTACCTACCTACCTATTTTTTATTTAGTTCCTAAATGTTATGGCACCCAATACTAGGTGAGAGAGAAACAGTATTTAGATTTTCTGTGTGTCCTGCACATATGGTGAATTGACTATAAAATCCTTGAACCTTGATGCATTCAAGCCAATTAAAGATGTTATGCAGAGGTTTCTGTGTAAACAAACCTTTAAAGGTCAAACATGTAGTAGAGATGCAGTGTCTCATCATATTTTCTCTTCTCCACTCTAAGCCTTGACATTTAAGCAATGAATGATCAATGAATTAAGGCGCAAATGGTCTCAAATGACCAGAATGATGCAGAACGGAGGGTTTATCAGAGCTAAAGTAAACATGACTAAACAGTCTGACAATGTGCCATCTATTTTTTTTTACATATCTGCTGGAGGTTTCTTGGTTAAATGGTTGTTGATGTGTTTTGTTGTCTTGTAAGGTATCTGAGATCTATTGTCTGTATGCAACCAGACCAGTATGTATCTGGCTGATGTTAGGATGAATAATGGTAATGAAAAGTGGCTTTT